ATGAGAGAAGACAAAACCCACAGTAGTGAAATAATTGGAGAACAAATATTTACTTTAGAGGTTCAGAGAAGAAAGCAAGTAGAATATTCAAGAAAGTATTGAAGAAGAGAGATTTGATATGGGACTTCAAAAGTGAGACAGGGCACACCCAGGAACACGAGAAGTTACAGGAGGGAAAATGAGTAAGCGTGTTTACTGGAGAGTGAGGGGACAAGCCTCATTGGACACAGCTCCTTTCCAAATGTGTATCACGTATCTGTCTATCTCTGTCCCTTTCCTTTGCAACCACCTTGGTCCAGTCCACTCTTAGCTCTCATCCAGCCTATTAAAATAGCTGTAATTGGTCTCTTTACCAGGGCCCATCTACAATTCATAAAGATGACACAATAATCTTTCTTTCCATTTAAAATCAGATCATTTCAGGCCCCTGCTCAATTCTCTTCAAATGTCTTCCCAATGCACTAGGAATAAAACCCAGATTCCTTACTATGGGCTTCAGGGTCCTAAGGGATCTGGACCACACTTAACTGCTGGATCTTCTCTTCTAAAGCTCTTTTCCTTTCTCACTATGCTCCAACTTCACTGTTCTTTTTCTTCCTGAAATTGAGAGTGGAGAAAAATTCAGAACAGCAACAACATTTGCTTGGCACTGTGCAGCTAGTCTGTGTTCTTCATTCAGTCTTTGAAAAAACTCTGTCCAGCAGGTATGATCCTTATTTTTAAAATGAAGACTTGGAATTCCAGAGAGCCTAAGATCACAGATCATGTGACTGTCAGAGCTATGACTCAAACTCATCTCTTCTGACCACCATTCTGAAAGGAAAACACAGTATTTATAATTAATGATATGTAAAATGTGGTGAGAGGCATGACTGAAAGGTAATTTTAAATGTCAAAGGCTGGATTAATGAGGAAATGGTGATGTCATAAAATCAATAACTGGAAAGAAATATAAAAAGGACACCTAGCCCAGTTAGCCTCTCCTTAGAGGCTGCACCAGAACAGGTGGCTTTTACTGCTGGCTCTGCAGCAACACAGCTGAGTCACTTCCGTTCTCCAGCGCTCAGATTTCCTCTCTGAAAAAGAGGGAGAAAATTTTTATTACCTTCATTTAGGTAAAGATTTCCCAAATACGACACTACGAGCATGATCTGTCAAAGAAAAAAAAATAATTGGACTTCATCAAAATTAAGAATTTCTGCCCTTCAAAAGGTACTATTAAGAGAATGAGCCACACACTGGAGAAAATATTTGCAAATCACATATTTAATAAAGAACTTGTATCCACAATATATAAAGAATTCTTAAAACTCAATAATAAAAAAAAACAAACAACTCAATGTTTAAAAAACGGCCAAAATATTTGAAGAGAAACTGCACCGAAGATGATATACAGATGGCCATCAAGCACATGAAAAGATGCTCAATATGATTCGTCATCATGGAAATGCGAAATAAAACCACAATGGGATACCGTCTATCAAAATGGCTAAAATTAAAGATTGACCATACCAAGTGTTGCCCAAGCTTTGGAGGGATTAGAACTCTCACACACAGGTGGTGGTAATGTAAAATGTTACAACCACTTGAAAACCATTTGAAAATTTCTTAAAATGTTAAATATACATCCACCATATCACCCTGCCATTTCACTCCTAAGTTTTTACTAAAGAGAAATGAAAGTCTATAGCTATACAAACACTTACACATGAATGTTGATAACAACACTATTTGTAATAGCCATAAGCTGGAAATTGTCCATCAACAGATAAATGGATAAATAAGATAAGTTGTAGTATATATATATATATATAATGAAATATTACTTGTGAATAAAAAGGAATGAACTACTGATAAACATGACAACACGGATGACTCTCAAAATAATTACGCTAATTGAAAGAAGCCAGGTAAAATGAGTGCATACTTGATAATTCTATTTAATTGCAAACTAACCAATAGTGACAGAAAAGATCAGTGGTTGCCTGGAGATGAGGAAATGGCAAGAAGAAGCAATAGGGAGGGATTATCAAGGGACATAGGGAAACTTTTGGGAATGATGGATATGTTCACTGTCTTGAATGTGGTGATCATTTCATGGGTAGATACATAGTCAAAACATCAAATTGTACACTTTAAACATATGCAGTTTATTATATGTCAGTTATATCTCAATAAAGCTGTTTAAAAAAGAGAAAAAAGCAACAGTAATGACAGTATGGTATTGGCACAAGGAGAGATTAGCAGAAAGAATTGAGAATCAGGAAAAAATAACACGTTTACATGGCCAATTGATTTTCCAAAAAGCTGCTAAAAACATTCAATGGAGAAAAGATCATGTTGTCAATAAATTGTGCTGGAGTAGCTGTATATCATATAGAAAAAGATTACCCGTAACATCCTACTGAAAAATTAATTCAAAGTGGATCATTGACCTTACAAAAGATCTAAAACTATAAAACCACTGAAAAAAAAAAAAGGAGAAAAACTTGTGACCTGCATTTAGAAAGTATTCTTTACATAGGACACAAAAAGCATGAACCAACAAAAAAATTGATGAGTCAAAATTTATTAAAATTAAAAGCTTTTGCTTATCAGGAGATTTTATTAAGACAATAAAAAGGCAAGCCACAGATTGGGAGAGAACATTTGTAGTACATATATCTGACAAAAGACATGCATGGAGAACATATAAAGAACTTTTACAAATCAACAACAAGAAGACAAATTACCCAACTGAAGGAACAGAGAGAATTTCCGGGATAGGCCAAGAGAGCAGCCCCATTCATTCCAGGTCCTCCTTTTTATATCTTAAAAACCCTGACATAACACAGCAAACTTAGGAAGGTTCTGAAAGGTGGAAGAAAGAAGAGAGTCTCTACCTAGAGATCTTAGAACTTGAGAGAGGACAGCAGTGAGTTTTCCTTTTGCCAACAGTCAGGGCAATGGAGAAATCTATAACCTGGCAGCAGCAAGAGGTATGGTGGGGGCAAGGGTTGGGGGAGAGCTGGAGAAGATCCCAGAAAAGTCTGCTCCCCTTAGGCAAAGTACTAGAAAAATAGTAGCCTAACATAAGAGATAATCTGTTTGACAATAGTTGCCCTACTTCAGACAAACACTCTGGAAAGACTGCATTCCCTCCGCCCCTCTGGCCCTATTGTTTCAGCAAGAAACAGGAATCTAATATTTTACACACACACACATACACACACTTGAGCAGAAGCAGGCAGGGACACTCTGATTCCCCAGCCTGAGTGGTGGTGTTCGGGCCAAGCAAAGAGAGGTCTTCCATCCCCTGCCCACCAGAAACAGGCAGTGCTCCCATCCGCCCTCCTGGGTCCTGTCAGCTGGGCACAGCAGGGAACCGAGACTCCATTTCCAACAGCAAGTGGAATGAGGTGGGGTAAAGAGGCTGCTCCTCAATTAATTAACAATGTAATTCCTCCCTCTCCCTCCCCTCACTTTGCAGTACTCTTCTGAGCAACAGAGGAAATAATCCTGGGTAAAATTCAGCTCTCCGCCTGTTCCGTTACTGTACTCACACAGGCAAACAAGTCTGGAGAAAAATGCCAAAATCGTGCTATGTTCACATTAACTTCATGACCAACCTCAAGTAGCCCGTTACCATCGCCTAGCAAGTTTACGGTTTCCACTCCTTCCCTATCGTCTTCCTCGTGTGACTATTTCTGATCTTTTCCTTTCTTCTCAAGCCTTCAATATCCCCTTCCCATAGCCAGTCTTACCTGTTGACTCTGCTTCTTCTTTCATGTAGAGGAAAGTAGAGAAGAAGAAGGGAGAAAGCCAAAAAGGAAGGAGAGAGGGAAAGAAGGGAGGTAGGAAGAAAGGAAGGAAGGAAGGAGGGAAGGAAGGGAGGAAGGAAGGAGGGAAGGAAGGATCAATTAGAAGATGTACAGGAAATACCATAGGATGACCCTGAATAGGTCACACTCTTGATAGACCCATCCCCCTGAGTGTGGAAAACAACCTGTGACCAGATTCTAGACAACAGAACATGGCAATGATGACGGGATATCATCCCCTGATTCTGTTATGTTGTATGGTAAAGGTGAAGGGATTTGCAATGCAATTAAGGTCTCGAATCAGCTTTTGAGTTAATCAAAGAGGAGATTATCCGGGTATCCTGGGTGGGCCTGATCTAATCAGCTAAGCCCTTTAAATTTTTGTGATAATTTGTGTTCTAAAACTTAGATCTATTAGTGTTTGCACAACTGAAACATTTACCAAAATTCATAAAGCTATATATTTAAATGAGTAAATTTTATCATATTTAATTTTACCTCAATAATTGTTTTAAGTTAATGTTAAGACACCTCCTCCCCCCTGCAATGGGATTCTAACAGCAGGATTTACACCCAATGAAGGGTTGAGAGGGAGAAGTGATTTCCTCAGAACTTGCAAAACAGACCATTGGGATGGGTACTTATTTGTAAAACTAATCTTTACAGGAGACGCTAAAAGTTTTATGCAAATGACACTCATTTCTTTGGTTTAATGCATGGTCTGGGTATAACCTGAGTGTTCCTGAGTTTTCCCATACTTTGAAAAGTGGAATAAATAGGAAGACCCAACTCCTTAACCACGTTACCTTTTCCAGGTTCAGTAGGTGTATTCAGCTATGCAGTATGGCTTCTTTAGCGCCACAACACAGAGTTGAGCAGTTGCTGTAGAGACCTTAGGGCCTGCAAAGCCTAAAATATTTACTATTAAGTGCTTTACAGAAAAAAATTTGTCAACTGCTGCTTTAGATAAAAGAGAATATACTATACGTCTATTCTAAAGAGGAATGAAACAAAGATAATGAAACTGATAAGACGTAGGTGATGTGGATACACTTATTAAGAACTCTAAGAAACAATATTTACAAAGTCTAACATGCCACTATTTTATAGCTTACATTTATGTAAAAGCATTCTAATTAGCAGCTGTTATTGGAAGTATCTCAATGATACTTTTATTTTCATCTGTCTGTGTACCCCAATTTTTATTGGATCGTGAACCTAAATGCAACTGCTATCTTTCCAGGAATATCTTACATCCGGCACTCAGGGGCCTGGGCTCTGGTTTTACTTATTCCTTTTACGTCTACGCTTTTGGCTCTGATAACTTTTCCTATGATGCACTATAACCTGATCTATCAGCCAGAAAAATGTAAGTAAATCACGCTTTGCATTAAATTTTTTGGCTTTTATGGTTTTCTTGACACATCTCTTTTCTATTCGGTTCCCTATAACTTCACTTTCAACTCACAGAATTTGTAGATTCTGCCAGTTATTACACTTAAGAGTAACAATGTCTGCAAGAATCTCAAGAATCCTTATCTTCTTTTATTTTTCCCTTGTTAAAAAAGTTTTAATAATGGAATATTTTAAACATAAAAGTAGAAAAAAATCATATATGAACTCCATCTATCTAGCCTTCAGCTTCAACAATTATCAACCCATCTCCATTCACTTTTGCCCCATCTCACCTGGTAATTTTGAAGCAAAAACTAAATATAACATTTCGTTTATGTGTGTGTGTAATAATGACACTGTGATTATGTCTTTTTTAAAGTATTTAACATATATAACACACACACATATGGAAGGAGCGAATACCATCAAATATCTGGTCACTATTAAAATCTCTCTGTTTCCAATTTTTAAATTTATTTTGTTTTGTTTTATAGTTCAAATCAAGTCCAAACAAGGCCCATATATTGCAGTTGGCATGTATGTCCCTTAAACCATATATATGGCCCCTCTTCATCTCTGTCTCTCTCTTTTCATTTTTTTTTAAGAAATCTGAGCATTTCATAGAGCATTTCCCATCATCTGGATCTTGCTGATTACATCCACTTGGTTTCATCCCACAGGTTTTCTCCCTCTGTATTTCCTGTAAATTGTCTGATAGACTTAGATGCTCTATCATATTCAGATTTTTTATTGAGGGGGGCAAAACTCCTTCATAGATGGCAGTATGTACTTCAGTCAAGAGGCATAGTATCTGACTATCTCTGTTTTCGCCATGTCAACATCCATTGATGACTTTTGCCTACTACTCTTTTGGGGGTTGCAAGGTAGTGATAGTCTACACTTCTTTTATTAGCTGAAGAAATAGAAATCTCTCTTCATCAACCATTTAATTACACAGAGGCACAGTTTATGTAAGAAGAAGAAGATAAATGTCTAATTCTTTCCCTCTATTTTTAGATTTTCAAAATAATGAATTGAGCTTCAATATCTTCTAAAGATGATCTTTAGCAGTTTTTTTAAACTATTACTGTTAATTCGTGGACTTAAATTTTTCAATGTGTTTCAATCTACTACAATTATTGATGCTCAAATTTTTCCCTATTTGGACAGTGGGGTCGTCTTCATGCTGGTGCCTGAGTCCTCCAGACAAGCCTCTGTTATCACCGATTGCTTCCCTGCTTTCTGGTATACCAAGATATTCTCTGGTCGTGATTTCCTCCCCTAAACTTTGCATCATCTCTTTCTCCAAAGAATTGTGTTTCCTTTTCGTGTATAACGGTATTTATAAACTACAGTCTTCTCAATGGGGATGCTTACATCCCCATTGTAGCTTGCAGCTTACAGCTTACAGCTACTTAGTCTATCACAGTTTCCAGGTCTTGTCAGTGCACAAAGCTGGAAATTTTTTTTCTTTCTAAGATAATGTACATTATGGAGGATAGTAATACCCTAACCAAAGCCAGTGCTACAGATTTTTACTAAACCTTACCAAACTCAGATCTTTTTCGACGTCTTCCCATGACAAAAATCCCAGTTCTCAATGACAGCAATATATTTGCATATTTGCTTTATCCTAATATGGCTATTGAAAACACTTTCAAGATTCTTCTTGCAGTTTTTTTTCATGTTATAATCCCTGGGAATGTACACTAAAATTATTGTTTTAAAGTCACCTGGTATAGTCCTCTCTGTCTGGTTATCCCACTAACTTAACTTTAAACACAATTAAGCACATTTGTTCCATTTTCCTTTATGCTTTGAGGTATTTTTAAAATTTAAGTTTTTTAAATTGTGTATATAGTTTCATGTTTCTAAAAATCCATGTACAAAACAAGTTCGACTTATATTCATGTATCCTCTCATTCCTTTAGGTGTCCATTTACATATTTTTAAAGAATTCTTCTTCTATTATTTTAATAGAGGAAAATATTAAAATTTTACATATGTGTGCTTGTGTTTCTATGTATATGTATGTATTTTTGCCCCTTCTTATATAAGCAGTAGCATATTATCCATACTTTTCTCATGTGCTTTTTTCATTTAATATAACCTACGGATTGCTTCCATTGTATATACAAATATTCCCCATTCCTTTTTATAGCTGCATAGTATTCCATTGTGTGGTGAACTATTGTCTCTTTCACCAGTCTTATATTGATGGACATTTGAGTTTTTTCTTTACTTTTGTAGGTTCTAATGAATATCTTGGTGCATACTTCTCTTTGCATTTTTTTCCCAGCATATCTTTAGGATAGATTCCTACAAGTAGGATTGCTAAGTCAGAAAGTAAATCCATAGATAATTTTGCTATATATTGCCAAATTCCCTTCTGTAGTGGTTGTACCATATTGTGTTTTCACCAAAAATGTATGAGAACGCCTGTTTCCCCATAGTCCTCCAACAGAGTATGTTATCAAGCTTTTGGATTTTTGCCAATTTGAGGATGGGAAATGGCATCTCAGTGAGGTTTTAATTAACATTTCTCTAATTATGAGAAAGTTGAACATCTTTTCATTGCTATAGAGCAATTTGTTCTTTTTTTAAGTGAACTACCTGTTCATCTATCTAGTCCATTTTTTCTATAGGGCCTTGGATTTTTTTCTTTCAGTTTTTAGAAGATTTTTATATATTAGGGATATTACTTTTTGTCTATGATAGAAGTTGCAAATATTTCCCGTTTGTCACATATTTTTAACTTTGCTTCTTGAGTTATTTTGCAAGCATAAGACTTCCTAAGTTTTTGTTTTTTGTCTTTTGGGGAGGTTTATGTTTATAAGTCAAATTTATGAATCTCCTCTCTTACTGCTCATAAATTTTGAATCATGTCGGAAAAGTTTTCTTCACTCCCGGATTGTAAAGGAGTTCACTCATATTATCTTTGGGTACTCATATTATTTCCTTTCTTTTTTTTTACCTTTGCATCTCTGACCCATTTGGAAATTGTATTAGAATAGGTTTTAAGAGTGAACTCAACTTTATCTTTTTTTTTTGTATGACTATTAAGTTATCTAAACTCACTTATTAAAAAGTCTATATTTTCCCCACTAATTGGAGTTGTCATCTTCATTGTATACTGCCACTTGAATTTCTGGAGTTTCTATTCTGTTCCTTTGCTCAATCCATTCATCTGTCTTATTTAACTCTGAACTTAATTTCTAACATATTTTGCTTTTAGTAGTACTTTGACTACTGCCACTGTTTCTACTACTTATCTATACAACTACCACTAACGGCAGTGCAATCACTTGTATTTTTAAAAATTGAGCACATTCGCCAATGTTACTTTTGGTGTTACTTTGGTCATTTTGACCACACACCTGTGAGGTAGGTCGGGGGGGCACTGTATATCCTTTTACAGGCCAGACTCCATATGCTTTACCTCTGCTCCTGTAACACCCTGAGATATCTTTACTGTTTCATCTCCCACAGTATGTTGAAATGATCCCTTTATGAAAACGATTAGAAATTCCTGTGTCTTATAAATACTTGGAATGTGGCAAATGCTCGATCAGTGTTTGCTATTGTTAAACTGACTGCTGAAACGGAGACATAATTTAATTAAATGAGTTGCCCAAGACCTCACAGAAAATGGTGGAAGTAGAACCAGAAACGAGGTCTTATTTTTCTCAGTCTAGAGCTCATTTTATTACACCATCTACTCAGTCAGTGAAGCAGGGAAAATATCACCCCCAGAAGCCTCTGCACCTGTTCTCAGAGCTCTGTGGTCTGTGGATCACCGCTCAGCAGCACATGCGCTCCTGGTAGTCTGTGGAATGGGTTCAATGTGCAAAAATGCGTCTGAGACATTGTCTCTGTCAGACTCAAATAGCAGGAAAGAAGAAAATGTAAAGTATAAACGTTTATTGAAAGACCACTTTGGCACTTTCTGGAGTGTGTAATTATCAAATAATTCTGCGTGTTTGTAATATATATACATACATATGTACATACATAATTTTTAGATTCCGATTTTCTAAATAGCTGTGCAGCAGCCATCCATTCACTTCCCAATCTCCTATTTGAAAATATACTCAGCTGAATAAAGAAATACAATTCTTCAAATAACAGATCTTTATAATCAACTCTGTTTACTGCCAGCCTATTGTAGTTCATGTGTTACATATTTTAACATGTGATAAGGTAACCTTTCTGTGGACATTTACAAGAAAACATTTTATCAGCTGCAAGTAAAATTATAATAGAAAATGTTCACCAGTGGTGTACTTTACACAATACTCTACAAAATGAATATTCTGGAGTTGTTTTTTGTTTTGTTTTCTATTTCCAAGTTATAAGATCACCCAACTATGATGAAGTAAACTCTGTCTTCCTTCTAGCAAAGTATATAATCCTTATTTTGGCTTCTTTCTTTCTGATGACTAAATTGGAAATTCCTCAAAGCTGTAATTCAAAGCCATAGGTGACCTTAAAGAAATGATTTTTCATATGCTACCTTTTATTTTAAGGTAACTTTTCAAATGTGGACCATGCATTCCATTATGTTTAGCTGTCAAGCACAGCCTTCATTTGCATTTCTTCCCACCGCTATAATTTTGAGAACTGGCAGGTGACCAAAGAAGAAAAAATGTGCATCTACCATCTAGAGTGCAATGTAGGCTTTTTTTATTATAATTAAGTAGCATAGATATTCATGATTAGATCAAGGTCAGAGGAGCAGAACATCAGAGCCAAGGACTTAAAGGTACAAAGAATAGAAAAATTGCTTTCTAATATTTTTTTTTAAATAGTAATAGCTACAATCTTTAAGTTTTGCAATAAAACATTTAAAATAGCTCATCTGTTTTATTTTAAAATGTGCACGCCTGGTGTGTTTGCCGTGCACATTTAAAGTGGAGCTTGAAGTCTCAGTTGCATTTTCATTCCAGTTTTTTTTCAACCTCTCATTTCTGCTCCTGGTGCAGAAAAGCAATTTGAGAATTATAATGACAATGGATTTTTTTTTAAGCCTGAGTCTACATGACACCCAAAATTATTTGTACAGAAGGCATAAGTTTTCTATTAAGTCTAATGGATTAATCCAAGGAGGTGGTGTGATATTTAGATGCAGATGTTTTCAATAGGATATCCCTCCTAACATTCAGTGAGAACTCTGTGGTTTGATGGAACAACGCCTCCTCCCCTTGGGTACACACCTTATTATACAGTTCCTTTTCTTGCCCTCTCTAACTAGCTTATTGGCTCCCTCTCAGTCCAGCTAGTCAATTTAGTTTTGTTACTGCCCTCCCTTCTTTCCCTCTGACTTACGACCCATCTAGCACCTCGCCCACTCTTTCTCAGTCTCCTAAGCTAACTTTTCTCCTCTGATACTCTCCTAACTGACAGGGGGCCCTAGGATTTCTTCAAGGGACCTCATGTCTTCTCTTCCCATCCTCTTTCCTTAAGTAATCTCTAGTTTCATGCCTTTTAATGCCAATGACACAAGAAACACTCAATTTCATATTGACTTCTCTCTTCACCTTGAAACTCATATATGTGACTTCCTGTTTGACATTTTCACTTAGTTCTCTAATAGACGCCTCCAAATTAACCTGACAAAAACTCGACTCCTGATTCAGCCAACTACAAACTGACTGCTTTCTTGTTTTCTCCACCTCAGCGTGTCACCATCACCCCATTGTTTAAAGGACAAAAATGTAGTATTATCAAATCTTCGCATTTCTTTATCCATTCCCCATGTCAGAAAATTCTATTGATTGTTCAGAAACATATTCTGTTCACTTCTCCTCCTTGCTACTAATATGTCCAAGTCACCACAACTTCTTGCCTGTCCCCTAACTTCCTCTCTAGTCCCCTAAAATACATTGTCTACACAGCTATAAGAGTTTTAGAGTAACTTTTTAAACATTTACCTAATATGATATCTCTGAACTGCATAAAACTTTTTTTCTTTTTTGAGGAAGATTAGCCGTGAGCTAACTGCTGCCAATCCTCCTCTTCTTGCTGAGGAAGCCTGGCCCTGAGCTCCCATTTTCCTCTACTTTGTATGCGGGATGCCTGACACAGCATGGTGTGCCAAGCGGTGCCAAGTCCACACCCAGGATCCGAACCTGCGAAGCCCGGGCTGCTGAAGTGGAACGTGTGCACTTAACCACAGCGCCACCAGACCAGCAACTGCATAGTCGTTTCCTATAACACTGGAGATAAACTCCAAGCTCCTTGCTTTGGCCTGTGAAGTCTGACTCCTGACCAACTCTTGGACCTCGTCTCCTTCCAATCTTCTTCTAACTGAGCCACTGCCTCATTGGCCTTTACTGTTCCTGAACCTCTCCCAGCTCATTTCTACCTCATGACGTGTCTGGCATATGCTTCCTCCACGTCTTCTTACCTACTTGCAGTCATTCAATTCTCAGTTCAAATTTCAACTCTTTAGGGCTCCTCTATACCCTACCACACAATGGGTCTCTATCTTATCAGTCCATTTTGTTTCCACCAGTGAACTTGCCATACTATTTTTCTGCTTGTTTAATCTCTCCCCCACCAGAAAAAAAACTCAGGGATTTGTAGGTCTTTTTCACTGCTATATTCTCAAGTCCTAGAAAAGTTCCTGGCACATAATAGGTACTTAATAAATATGTTGAATGAATAACAGATTGCATTCACATTTGTTTGGCATCAATTATGTACACTCTCAGTGCTAGTTAAAATTTTAGACCTCATTCATGTTTAATCATTTCTTGTTCTTAACAGTTTTGTTTTTGTGGCTTCATATCCCCATATCAGATACAAGTTTACTTGTTTAAATAAATTCATGTTTCAGAGTATGTATTCAATTTGGCCAGTGCTACTCAGAGTCTGATCCATGGAGCAGGGCTGCTCAATGGACTTTTTGTTACCGATATGCAGACAAATAAATTCAGACACTGAGAGAAAACATGGAGAAATATTTATGGAAAGTTATATTTTTTCATCTGTTGAATCTAATAATAAAAATATCAACGCATATTTTGTTTGCCTTTGTCTTATTTTATTCTTTATGTATTTCATTTTTAGTGTATTTCACAAATGTATTGACATAATTGTTGAGAAATTTTTTTAAAAAACTGATCTTTTAACACAGCTGGTTTAAGAAGCACTAATCTAAGCTACTTTCCTTTAGAAATAATACAATAATGATATTTAACTGTTCAATAAAATTATTAAATTTATCATGAATTAAAAGCAGATTCAAATTTATCTTGCAACAGACAGTGATTTGTTTATACAAAAAAGGAATAGAGAGTTTAAAACGTTATATTCAATATAATGAATTTAAAAAGTAAAGGAGAAATTGGGGAGAATCTCTTTGCCAATAGTCTTTCACCATGCACATAGTTAGCGTTTCGTAATAAAGCCTGTTTGAAAGCATAGAGTAAGTTGTAACGATGCCAGTAACAACCCTACTATCTGAACAGCACTGTTTTGCAAGAGCAGAGCAGAGAACAGTTGATGAGCAACAGAGACAAGCTCATAAGCAGAGGTCAGGAAGTTAAGCTCCTAGCCCAGACCTGTTCAAATTCAGTATCTAGACTGTTCATGAAAACATTCTCAGTTCTCAACTTACTAAAACCTTAAGTAAACTCATTTAAATAGCTAGAAATGTCTCATAATAGCAATAATAAAGAGAAGTCCTTATTACTTCTTTCTAAGAGATACAAAGCTTGGCTACTCGTGGGTGCTTCTGCACCCTTGGCTTTCTCAGTCCCTGGGCCTTTCATGTGTGTTTGGCAATAGTGACTAAGAAGAGGCAGTAGTAACTATAGATATGAGTCCTTCTGTCAGCAGTTATCCTGACATACGTCCACCTGACCTAAATACACTTCATAGAGGCCACCAAAGAGCCATCGTTGTAATCATTCTTGGTCACTACCAATTTGGGCTGGATTTGATTCAGTGACTTAGAGGTTAAAGGCTCCATATTCAATTCTGAGGGTTCCAGCTTCCTCAATTAATCAAAAGCTGACATAATAGTTCTATTACAACTGAGATCAAGTCAATATAATCACTTTATAATCATAAAAAGAAATATTAATAAATATTCTTTATTTAAAAATAAAAGCCAATACTCTATGACATTTAAATGAACTTGGTTAGAATGCATTTCACCTGGAATTTTATCACAGGAAACTTGAACATAATCAAAATGACCATCAAACTATACTTTGAGTTTCTCTATTGGCCTTCTTTGGAGAAACTCAAACTTTTCAACATTTATTATACCATTTATTCTACAACCATGGTTTGATGTCTATATAATTTGTGAAAATATTTATCTGGTCAAAAGGGGTGCTATGAAAAATTGTAACAATTATGATGGCACAGCTGAACTGCTAACTAAATGGGGGTCTCTAATCTGTCATTGTATCAGGAAGTCCTAATGGAGTCAAAGAAAAGGTGGAATCTGAAAGGTCATAAAATGAACAACAATGAGGTTGCAAATCACTAGCAGTAAGTGACTGCAAGCTTCTAAGGCCATAAAATGCTTCTGATGCTAACGCGACAGCCACATAACCCCAGAGGAAGCTACTGGAAAAGTCAAAAGCCAACTAATGCAATCTGAACTTTGAGTGACACTATCAACAAGTACAAAGTCATTGAAGAGTTCAAAGTTTAATCTTATGTCTGAAATTCAAGGATAAAGTCAAAGCAGGGACTATGTTTCCCTTCATCTCCATGTCAAAGTAAGAAACCATCCTCTCCCTGACAAGTAAAGTGAGGATTATTTATATAACCATTTACGTTAAAAAATAGGATCGGTTCTTTGTGTTAAGGCTGTAAAAGAAAGTCCAAGTTGTCTTATTCATTAATGAGTTCAAGTTAGAGACTTCTGAGAGATTCTGAAATCTTTTACTTTGGTCTTTTATTTTGTTACTCTTCTTCCCTTTTTAATATGTTCCCATTGATCTTACCTTTTTCATTTTTTACATCAGCTGTCAGGCACCACCTTGGGCTGGTCACCAGGATGCCAGAACCGTTGTCAGAAGCTTCTTCCTTTGAATTCAACCCCTTAGGTGCTAAAACCTTCTCAGTCACTTTACTTCCCTTTATCCTTGCAATTGTTGTCTTTCTGATGGACATCTTGGAAAACTGAAGAACAATTCCTTTACTAATACATAATATCTCCAATTATTTGCAGGTTGCTCCCTCCTGACAACCTTTAGGGTGTTTGTTAATGCACTGAAAACATGCTGTCTGCGATATTGCCATCTTGGCAGAGGCGTGACAAGCTGGTTAGACCATGCCAAGGAAAAAAATGGTGGCTGCTACAGTGAACTCCATGTAGAAGACACAAATTGTTTTTCACCCTTCTCCCTATCTTCATTTCTCAGCTCCTACACAGAATGTGCATTATGCAGGTAAGGAAGCATAATTAACACTACCTCCACAACAATCAAATGATTGCACATTAACATTATAAATAAACGTTTGTTTTCACCCCAGCAAGCGCTTCCCATACACTTTGTCAGGCAGTTATCCTATAAAGGCTTCTAATCATTATAGCCTGTAATTTCAAGAGCTAAGAGGGGTCAAGCAGAGGCATACCTGAGGAGAATCTGCGTATGCTGTTTCTCCTGTAGAACTATAAATGTCTGTCAGGAGGGGCAGACAATACTTCAGGGTGCACAGGCGTAAGGCATAAGAGTAGGGCATGAAAATATAGGCTCTATGGACAATTACCCAACCTTCCCTTAGCTAAACATTTTGCCTTCCTCCTTCATTAAGCCTTTAAAAACTGGTACTAACAAGTAGCTAAATTGACTGATTTGAGTACCACCTCCACTGTGCTCTTAAGTATAAGTCCTAATGAGCAAGTGATTCTCTCCCCACCTACTCTTAGTTCCTTGGTGAATCAGTCCTTATGCTGTGGAGAAGTCAAAAAGAAAGCACTAAGTCTAAAGTACCTTTTATAAATATATGTGATTTTTAAAACATTTTAACGTGGTTAAGCGTCAAAGACTAACTTACTTATGAAGCAATATCAATGATTATAAAAGTCTTTGAAGAAATTTGGGACTATCTTCATTGCTAACCTCAACTTAGAAATTAGAAAGCTAATGAGTGAGTTCTACTCATAAATCATAAAACAATAAAGCTGAAAAGAAACTTAGGGATTAATTTACTCAATTACTTCATTTGTTGAAGAGGAAACTGAGGCTCAGGAAAATTAAATGATTTTGGAGAAGTCGGGTAGGTCACACAGTGAATAGTTGTGAAAGAACTCTTGACCTTTAGTACAATGCTTGCTCCTCCAAACCAGGAGTCTGCAAATTTCTGTCTGGAAGCCAAGTCCAGCCCACTGCCTTTTTTTGTGTGTACTTCAAGGTAAGTAGGTTTTTACATTTTTAAGTGGTTGAAAAAAGTCAAAAGAAGAAAAATATTTTGTGGCTCATGAAAATTACATGAAATTAAAAATTCAGTGTCCATCATAAAGTTTTATTTAGGAACTGGCCCGGTGGTGTAGTGATTAAGTTTGCGGGCTCTGCTTTGATGGCCCTGAGTTCATGGGTTTGGATCCTGGGTGCAGACCTACACACTGCTCGTCAAGCCATGCTGTGGCAGCATGCCACGTACAAAGTGGAGGAGAATGGGCACAGACGTTAGCTCAGGGCCAATTTTCCTTTCCAAAATAAGTAAATAAAGTTTTATTTGAACACAGCCACTCTGATTTGTTCGTTGTACTGTGTCTGCTTACGCATGAAAACAACCGAGTTGTGTAGTTCCAATAGAATCCATATTTGGAAATATTTACTACCTGGCTCTTTATAGAAAAGTTTGCCAACCCTTCTTCTAAACAATATATGAAAGCTAGACTGACTTAGCAGGTTCAACCTCCCCCTCGACTCCACAATAGCAATAGCTGGCACAAAAGCACAAAAATATTACCCATATAATGATCATTTATATCATAAAAGCATCTTAGAACGGAGAAATTAATAATGAGTATAAAATTACTAAGTGGTCTATAGCTAGCCTTGAACCTTGTGTGCACATAGCACAAATTACTGATTTTTTATCTTCATAATGCAGTGACATCTGGCATTTCTTTTGGCTAAATTGGATCCTTCGCTGCAAACCGTCATGTATTTTTAAATTTGATATAAATTACAATAAATTTTGATAAACTAATTTTTAAGCATCTCACCAAATCTAGATGCCCAGTTTATTGCAAAGAACAAAAACTAATACTTATTGATCACCTATACGTGTTACAGCTTCTAAAAGATGACTTCACAGTATCTAATTTAATCCCCACAGCAAGCCTATATGTCTGATACTGTTAACCTTAATCCGAGGCTCAGAGACATTAAGTAACTTGCAACTTGTTCGATGTCACCCTCCTAATATATGACAGAGCAGCCATCCCAATTTAGGACTCATATCAACTCCCATACTTTGCTATTACCCACAATGCCTGTCTTGCAGCTGGGTTAAAAATCCCTGATACAGACTGTATAGTTTCCAAAATTATATATACTAGTGTTGTGCTAGAAACTTCAAAGAAAATGGTTCAAATGTACTCAAGGGAGGCAAAGGAACTTCCATTGAGATAGGCTGGAATTCGATTTTTGCCTTCAGATGAAATAATCACCAGTATAAAGGCAATCAAAGTACCAAGAATAAAACATCATAGAATTCCATATTTTAAATTTAGTAGCCATTATTGACCTTCAGTTCCAAGACATACATTTAAAATATGTTGATATGAAGGCCAATGACGTTGCCATTTGACATTACTGGCCATTCAAAGGTGAAAATGAATCTCTATTGACAGCAATTATTTCTGAATACTCAGAGGCTTATGTGAAATAAAAGTATTTAAAATTTTAAAAGGGGATGATTTCAGAACTTGAGGCAGAAGCAGAAATGATTTCAAGCTTTCAAGACACTGGAGCCTTTTCTTAGATTAGGCAATATATTAATATTGCTTCACTAAAGATTAATAGTACGTTTGCCACATTATTAAGTTAACAGGTTTCTGTGTCTGTGATTCATGCCGATAATAACTTTATTCCTATTAACAATAATTCTCATTTGAAATCAGTAACAGAAACTTCCAAGTTGTGCTGGGAGCCTTTCAGTCTTAGAGTAATTCTGCTGCTGGCACTTTTTTTTAAAACACATCATTCACTTTCCTCTGATTGGGGGATACGTGCTTAATAATTTTATTGAACTAGGGCAGAACTGGCTAATGTTCCCTTCATTCTTGCCATCTGTACCTGTCGGTGTCACAATCCAATGTACACATCAGGATAGATGCGGAGAGGGCTGATGGCCACTCTGAGTTTATTATAACCAGCGTTTCAATATATACATAGCTTACATCTGTTAAACATACACAGGTGTTCTGGATGAAGTAATTAGCGAATGCCAAGAATTCTTAGTGATTTCTCAAGGAGCCCTCTCTTGGCCTCTGTTTTGATATTATCATGTTGTTGCTGTGCTCCTATATTTTTATCTCAGAGCAGGCAAGGTCTCTTAGGCAACGGTCCCTCTTGCTCCCGATATCGATATCGTTTCTCCATCTGTGCCCCCGGGCGGCCGCCGCCTGGCTTAGGTTGCCCCCCAGGGGGTCTTACCCGTCATTGGCTAACTGGCCTTCTCACCTCCGGGTCACAGTTTGTTGGCAAGCTTTTTCCAGTGATTATTAACCCTTCCTGTGTCAGGGGCGGCTACATTTCCCTGCCTTTTGTTTTTAAAGCAAGGAAGGCATCATGTTGTGCTGAGACCAGAAGGGCCATCATAACCAATGCTTGCTCTTGTTGACTTTGTTTTTTCAGGGTAGCACAGCAGACGTAAAACATAAACTATTAACATGGGTTAATATCAAAATCACACCAGCATTA